TCAAGTTCTTTCAGGGTCTCCCTCTTCTCCTCCGCTTTGTCATGCTCAACAGCTCGAATTTGTCTCTGCTCAGCTGCTATGGACATGTCGCGAACCATTGTATGTGCCATAGTCACATCCTCCTAATAAGCGGAAGCATCTCGTTCGACCTTAGACTTAGCCACGGCCAAAGTAACAATCTCCCTGTGAGCGTCCGTAAGAAGAACATGGGATGTCGTCAATTCCCCGGCCATAGTCTCGTTTCGCTCTATCAGCCCGGAGACCTCCACTTTCAACTGACTAATCCGCAAGTTACTCTACTCGACCTACAAAGAAGGGCAAGTCGACGAATACATGAATCCAGAACATGTGTGGTTACGAGGTAAAAGGGCGGGTATGAGCAAGGCAGAATACCTGAGCAGCAAGAGCGGCCTTCTCCTGGAGCACCGCCTCCAAGGCAGTTCGAAGTTCTCCCAATTCTTTGTCTCTCTAGGCACAATGAGCCTCCGAGCCCTGCATCTTTGAAACAACGCTACTACGCTCCTTCTCATGGCAAAAAAGTTCCCCTCTGAGCCGAAGAATGGCATAATCATACATCTCCTTACACTGCGGCACAATGAGAAAGTTAAGAAAGATGGTGAATAACGCCCGAGAACGAAAAGGAATACGCAAAGGAAAATTATCACCTGTTGCATGGACTTCTCCGCCGCTTTAATGGCGCCAAAAATATTGAGATCGGCCCTATCGATTACGCCATCAAAAATGTTGGCAATAAAATCTCCCCCTTTTGGAGGAATTCCAGCCGTGATGTCGACCATACTTTCAACATCCCTCAGCTCCCCTGATGAAATCGAAAAGCTTGAAAAGAGGTCGTTCGGTTTGCCGATTTACCCAAATACTAACCCACGCTCCTGGAAGGCCCCGAACTCCGTTCCTTCAGGATCAACGCCAACGGTCCCCCTAGAAAAAGCTACATCAACGTCCTCTTTAAGGACCCTCTGCTCACCAACCTGGCCGGAGCCAGCCATCCTGAATTCAGCAGCCTCCGATCGGAGCGCCTGCAAATCTCTCGCACTGGACCTTGTTCTCCTCCTCAACGGACATCTATCATCGTCCTCCCCCACGACGTCAGGATTTAAACTAGAGGTTAGAGCAACAGTCCTATTAGGTCGGGCAATGGCTGCCCTGCTCTTCTTTTTCTTGTTCATATCAGGCTCCAAGGCCTCTGCTTCACTGTTATGGGGCAGCCTCATCTACATATTCTCGCCAAGGCCCGCACCATCACAATAACCGTGATATGTTCTCGCTAAGGGCTCAGAAGGAAACACAGAATGCGAAGCATAGGCGGTAAAAGAACCTCACCGTAATTCTTGGCCACCCAGTGCTCCTTAGCCATGACGGTCCAAGACCGAATGCGGTACGGGAACTTCTCGTCCAAATGCATGATACATACCTACAAATCAGGGACCACCTCCGGATGCCAAGCAGTGGCTGTAAAAAGCATAAAGAGGTTATTATGACAGATGAAAGAGTAATTGAGAAGTGTTTAAAGGGAAATTCGCTTACATCGAGCATTCCACTGCTCCGAAAAGGGCATCCTCCGGGCCGGGATAATGTCCAAGGTCCTCACTCGGATAAACCTGCTCATCCACCCTCGATCCTTCCCCTCATCAATTCTCGTGAAAAAAGACTTTTTGGACTAGCGGCGTAGCTTGATTAAGCCTCGATACAGCCGAGGGCAATACAGTCTGATCAAATGGCTAAGGGAGAAAACTTCACCTTTAACCCCTTCGGTGAAATGCCTAAATATTAACACTATCCTCCAAAAGGATGGGTAGATCTGACCGAGGGTCACCTGATATCAGGCGCAGAAGTCAAGAATCACCGGGTCAATCTCCAAGGAGGGAGATTCGACGGATTTATCAGGGCCTAGGGTGAATGGGTAAGTGTATATGTAAAGGAAGCTAGCCTTGAAGTTGGTAATGTTATCGTTGGGGCCGGGAATCTCTACCTCCACTGCCTTGCTCCATTGGCAGTCTTTCCTCACTTTGCTAATATCGGTCACGATGCTAACATATCGAGACACATGCTCACACCGACCCGGCATAAATGAGGGAGTCTCGATGTCGAAATCCTGCAACGTGTCGATATCAGGTGGAGTCCATTCTCTAAAGTGGGAACTGATTTGTTTTCCCCCTCAGGTAATCGGGATGACGACGCAACATCATTCCGTCAGGGGACCGTCCTAGAAGTCCTAGCCATGAAAAATGATAAAAACCCTTTTGTGAAAAGAGGGAAGGATGTCAAATAGCAAAATTTTGACTCGTGGGCTTGCAAGAAGGGTGAAGATGGGAAGTATCTAGAAACCGGTGCATTTATAGGAATCGCTGGGGAAGTAGAAGATACAAGCCTACGGCAGTTCATGGGTTTCTCGATTACTACATCTGACGGCGGCCCTACACGGTTCTCTGGGAAATGGCATTTAATGCTCTTAGACGGTTGACGTCATGACAATAATGACCTCGATACGACGATCAATATTGTTTCCTATTACTTCGTTCTAGGAAACGCGGAGACTATCTGTATGCGGCAAAATCAGGGGGATCTATTTCCCGCCATTAAGGTACATTCGGAAAGTCTTGTCAACATCTCGAGGTTGTGGAATCACGACCGAGCTTCCTCTCTCGAGGATCATCCACAACTCTGCAGAGACTCCGAGGATAAGGGATCTGTCCGCAACCCAGCAAAGGTTACGAAAGCGAAGGACTGCCGAGGCAAGCAGCTAGAGTCAGTTGGCACTAGTGCCATGCCTAGCCGTCCCATCCCCATGCCTTTACATTCAATACACATTATACTATATGGTATTCCCTCTCCTATATAAGGGAAATCTATCCCACTTTGTAAGGAACTGATATTGCTCCATTTTCTCCACAAGTGCAATAGTATCTCTCTCTCTCTTTTCTTTCTAACTTGTTTGTTCTCACTGGCCCGAGGTCACCTCGATATCCATCGCTTTCCTACTTGTTCTTCATCATCTACCTTAGTAGCAGCCTTAAAGAGCTTTGTTTAATTATATCCTCAACTGTTATCGCATTCCCGACTGTCCCCAACACCTCGAACTCGACACTGACATCGACCTCGAGGTCCCTCATTGACCAGACATACATCCGGGCAGCAGGTCCTTCGATTCGATTATTATCCCGTTTTAGCTCATACTTAATCTCTAAACTCTATATTATTAGCATCAACTGCTCTAACAACTAGCTCGAGAATAGATCACGTATTTTTAGAATCTCATTTACAAATTTAATTATTGTTACCATTTTCACGGTAAATACATTCCAATTACCCTGATTGTTCTAATTATTATTCTGATTGCCTCAATTAGAATTTTGATTTTTGTTCCCCCAATTGCTATTCCCTTGTGGTTGTTGATTGCCCTGATTGCCTTGGGGTCTTCATTGTTGTTAGTTGGAAGAATTGCCCATTTGGCCTTGATAGTTGTTCACTTATTGCACCTTTTCATTTTGCCCATCATAACCAACATCTTGGGATCCACCACAATCATTGTCATATTGATCCGAACTTCTTGGTTCTATTGACCTCTTTGTCTTCTTTTGTTCACAAGCATTTTGACATCCTCCATAGCATTTACTTGGCATGAATTTTGAACCTGTTGTAATTGTGCCTTCGCTAGCTGGTTCATTGTTGTAGTCAGCTCTGCTATAGCCTGCCCGTGGTCATGTAGCTCTTTGTGCAAGTGAGTGGCCGTGGGGTCACCCTGTGGCACATTGGCGCTACTTTGCCAAGCGGAGGACATGTCAACCATCTCGTCAAGAATGTCACAAGCCTCATCATAAGACAGCTTCATGAAATTACCCTCAGCAAGTTGGTTCACTATGCAATAATTCGTTGTGGTAATGCCCCGGTAGAAAGTTTGTTATATCATTGCCTCGGTCATATCATTGTTGGGACATTCCTCTACCATGATTCTATATCGCTCCCATATCTCATGTAATGGTTCAGTGGGCTCCTGCTTGAAAGCTAAGATCTCATCTCTCAAAGCTGCCATGTGCCCCGGTGAGAAAAACTTTGCAATGAATTTATACGTCAACTCATCCCAAGTAGTGATGTAATGGTTGGGAAGTCGTTCAAGCCAATCCAATGCCTTCCCTCTAAGTGAGAAAGGGAATAGTCTCAACCGAAGTACATCCTCCGACACATTAGTTTGCTTGCTCCTCCTACAGGTATCCACGAAACCCTTGAGATGTTTGTAAACATTCTGATTAGTAGCGCCCGTGAAATACCCTCGCTGCACCAGCAACGTCAGCATCACATTTGTAATTTGAAAATTGCTCGCCCGGATCCGGGGTGGGACAATTGCACTAGCATATCCTTAGTTGGGGAGCACTCGAGCACCCACTCTTGGAGGTAACGGGGGAAGGTCTGAAATATTATTGTTGGCCTGGCGGCCTCTCCTTTGTCCTTGAGGAACAATAAGGACCTCACCATCAATATTGTCATCTACCACTACAACAAAAAAGGCTTATAGCGGCAATAATTATATTTTTTAGCGGCAATACTTATTGCTACTAAAACCTTTACCGGCAATTAGATATTGATCGGTATATCAAGTGTCGGCAAAGGCTTTAGCGGCCATTACAAAGAAAGCTGATAAATATCCTTTTTATTGCCGTTAAAGGTCTATGAGTTTTAGCGACAAAATTTTTCAGGCAATCTAGTGTCTACTAATCCTCTTTCAAAAATTCCTAGATCATACATGTAGTAGCTATTATATGGCCGGTAAGATCTATCATATTGCCAGTAAAGGAGAAATTTTTAAGTGGTAATTATTATGGCAGGTAAATGAAAACCTTTCACAACTTTTCTTATTGCCAGTAAGGATTAAGAAAGAGCCAACATTTTAATGAACAACCTGTCTATTTACATTCGAAAATAATAATAAAAGATATCCATTCCAAGAAGCTCAATACTTTCACTAAATCCACAACAACCAAAACAACATATAATCCATAATATCAATTATATCAATAACAAAATAAAAATACAAAGTAAACTATGAATCCAATACTAGTGTAATTGTGCATCTAATAACTGTTATCAAATAATTGAAATATTAGACAATAAGTGGCACCAATAAAATTCTTTCTCTCTCAAGGACATTGAAATCTTCCACAGCCAAATTTCTGAACAAAACCTTCTTTATGCTATTTGAGTTTTGAGACATGGCCTTCTTGTCTCACTTTGTGCGTGAGTTTTCCCCAGCTTTAGAATATCATATTTCCCAAAAGAGTCTTGGAGAGCAATGAAACTTTCAGCAACTGCAACACCTAAATCAGTTTATACATCGAGTAAGAAAGTTTTATGAATTTTAGGATGCTCAGAACAATGCTTCCTCCTCTGAAATGGGTCAAATGATTCAGATTATATGAAAAATTGAGAACTATACTCTGACTGAATTGGATTATGACTAAAAAGGAAGAACTAAACAGCTTCTAAGAATAGATTTCACCACAGCTAAAACATGACTCGCCAACAAAATTTAGAAGCAAGAAAATCACAAATGATGCCCATATCTACATAGACAAAATAGTCATAAAGCAATTAACAATTCAAAAAAGAAATTTTAGTCCTTTTATGCATGTAGTAACAACAGCAAAAAAGAACACATTTATCTTTGAATATATTAAAACCTATACAGGAACAAGGACAACATGTATAGAATTTATATTTTTATCAATTCCTTGTAAAGTGCACTTCTAGCAAAAGGGAACTTAGAACTGGTAGAAGAAAAAGAAGGACAAGTAGAGTCCTACGTCTAAATGGCTAATGTACAATGTTTACAAAGATTTGTCAAGAAATTTGATTCAATAAACTATGAATGGGAAAATGCCAAGAATATTGATTGTATCTTCTTCCCAATGAAAATGCCAAGTTTTTCAATTAATTCTATGGATATATATTCCAAATACGATACCATTTATTTTGAGAATTTTCTTAAGGAGTGAAAAGAACAAGAGATCCATGAAATGCTTTACCATGAGGGGACAGAATCTGGGCTTCCCTCTTTTACCATACTTCAATTGATGTGCATCCCTTCTTTAGTGAAATTATTGGCTGGACAATGTTGAAGGTCAAGTAAAAATAAAAAATGAATAATTTGAGTATATTAATACTTTTTCTTGCATAAATATCCTACTAGTAGCAGCACAACCCCAGAAAACGTGACACAAGAAAATTATAATTTATATACAGAACATGTATATTTTCCAAGATATTATTTTCAAAAACTTCCCTAGAATCCGAGAGAGCTTCTAGCCGTTTAAATAAGATAGATAGGAACTCACGAGGCAATTGGCTATCACAGTAAAAGAGTGAGCTAATTTAAGCTCGTAAGATTTCTAATGGCATTGGAACTAAAAAAGAAAAAGATTTGATTCTCAACTACTTTCAAGTTAGAACCAGGACCAAAAAGAAGAAAGTAAAAACAAAAATGAGACCGAAGAAGATATAGAAAAGATTCAAAATATAATTTATGCCAAAAGTTAACTAAAGCCCGTATAGAGCTACAGGTAAAAGCTTTATTACATTTCTCAATTAGGGTAATGCAATACTATTCTGCAAAACCAACCAAGATGTTTTAACTTTTATATGTTTATTGCTCTTGAAATTATTGCTCATAAAATTGAGATAAATGACAAGTAGCAAATAACCAAGACAAAGGACTCTCTGCCTTACAGGAATATACAATTATTAATTTCTTGGCATAAACAAGAATAGAACTACTAACTTAATGGTTGAGCTGCTAGAGGCAAATAACCTTAGCACTCAGTATTATTCTTTTTCCTATTGCTAAGTAAGGTCAAATTCTTGATATCAGAGTATCATATACATCATATGATAAGTGCTAAATTGAACCATAACAATCTTCTAATCCACATATACACTCCATATGACGAAGAAGTTTTAAATAGGAAAACAAATAAATAAAAATGAAACAGAAAACCTCAATCAAACTAGATACCCATTGAAATACCATTCTCAATAGCATCTAATGCCTCCTTGTCATTGTTGTTCCTATTACCTCAACTTCTGGTAACCCCAAGAATTGTCATCGTATTCTCTAGAAATGATGAGAAAGGTAAGATAAGTAAATAAATAGTTAGATAAAAGACAAAAGCCCACTATAAGAAGATCAAGAAGGAAAACATAAATATGCTTTTTAGATTGATGAAACATAATTAATTTGCATTCTTACCTACTGAAAATGTGGAATCACTTGGAATTTTTATCAAATACACTAACCCAAAAGACTCAAAAGCAGTGCAACATGAAGATAAAGTGTGGGCAATTAGAATAGGAAAAGCAGGCAATATCTGAGATTTAGTCACACCTTTAGAGATACTTTTAGCTAATGTTCTAGCTCCTATCAACTCCTTCTTATTTGAATCACTTGGAAATGGACAAATGTTCACTATCAGACTATTTGAAACGGTCAAAGATTAACAAATCGTCTGAAATCAACATTAAAAAATGGAAGACAAGAGTTAGAAATCTGCAAAAGCATTTCATCGAACACCTAAATTGCAAAATACACTTCCCACATCATTAGTATGGGAAGTAAAATAACCATGAAAGCAAATCATCAAATCACATACATGAACGCAAAAATGCCGGATATATTCAATACCACTATGCAAAGAAGAGTAGTCAGATTTCAATCGCCATAGTTGACTAGCATTTAATATACCGATAGTAAAATCACACATAAGATATCAGTTCACATATTTCATTCTCCATCAGGGACCTGAAGTCAATGGCTTCGCGACTGCAAAAAAGGTTTAAGTTCTTTTTGAAAGAAATACCTCTCAAGTCTCAATTCTTTGTGGATAGGCTACCCCTCGTTGTTGATAATGGGTATATAGAGAGGGGTGAGAGAGAATAGAGAGATGATGATGTTACCTAGGATGGTGGCCAATTATGGTGACACAGAGATGCGTTGGGCAGCATGAACGAAGATAGCCTTTACAGAGCCTATTTCTGAAATAATTTCGTGATATACAGAGAAGACCTAAAAAATAATTGGAGGGAAGATTGATGTGGGAAAAAATGGAGGGACAAATTTGAAACATTCGCTTTCAATTAGAACTTTAGTGGTCATTTTTTTCTATTGCTGGTAAAAAGGTATATTTTCCTGGCCAATGCTAATTTGCCAGTACTTCTTCATTTGTATGAAAAATTTAGTGGCAATTAACTTATTGTCACTAAATAATTGCCGCTAAAAGTACTTTTTGTTGTAGTGTACCTCCTCCCCCGGCGGGAGATCTCCAAGAGGTGTGTTGTTTGCTGCCATTTTGTACCTGAAGTTGTGACACACACAAATTAGTAACGTAGAAGGAAAGAATAACAATACACAAAACTATTTAGATAGATAGCCAAAACCGTTAGCTCCCCGGTAACGGTGCCAAAAAGTGATCGGTGTCAACCCTACACCACTACAAAGTAGCGAGAGTAGTCGCAGCAGCTTTTACCTGAGATGGTCGGGATCGAATCCATAGGGAGCTAGAAGTGGGAATTGGATTCCTATCTAAACTAGAGATGTGTAATTTCTCTTAGTTACTCTTCCAAACATCATTGGTTTTGATATTACTTCTAATTTTATGCTAATAAGATGCTAAATTAAGCTAAGAGTAAGATACTTGAAAGGTTGTCTAAATGGTTAAGGAGGCACTAGGCAAGTGACTTTCTTCTAGTTGAATATTTGACGGGTTCTCAAATCTAAGTCAAGGTTGTCATGTTAGGGATTACGATATAACCAATGCACTAAACTTCTCACTCTATACCTCTCGGTAGTTTGAGTGATTTTGCCCTAATTGACTTTCTCATGACCAATTGGGTATGATAATTTGTGCAAGCAATTTAGGTTCAAGTCGGGTATTACTATCTCTAGGTTTAACCCTTTAATTGGGGCTATCAATCTCTTGAATACGCTCCAATTCCTTGTTGGACTAATTTTCCTAGACTCAAGCTCTCTTTCTCAAGAAGAGCCCAAGTCAAAAAGGCACAAATTAGTGTTTGCAACCACTAACTCAACACGGAAAACACAAATTAGTTCAAATATCAAACACTCATAGACATTCAAGCCTTAAAACTCAAGACCCATCAAATACCCACACTAGGGTTGAGCCACAACCCTAGAAAATAGGTCTAGCTACTCATGATATTAGAAGAAAACAAAGAAATAGATGAAGAAAAACCCATAAGATTTAATTACAAACTAAGATAAAGAAACTTCAGTGTTAAAGTAGCTACCAATTACTCAAAATGGTCAAAAACCATTGTTCACGAGCGCAACTGAAAGTTAGATTACAACTGATGAACTAAAAATGGGAAAAGAAAGTATTTATACCAGGCCGAATTTTCTGGACAAAAATACCTCTGCGGGGGTAGTGCAGTCCGCACAAAATTGAGTGCGCCCGCAGTGAGGCTTCTTGGCTTTAAATCTTTGCTCTATTAACTTGGCCATCGCGGGCCGCACAAAATGCACTGTTGGCCGCGATGGCTTCTACTGTGGTCCGCACAAAAAGGACCGCGGACCGCATTGGTATTAATTCTCCAAAGTCCCAACTCTCTGAACTCCTTCTTTGGGGACCGCACAATTTTGATTGCGGCCGCGGTGAGGCCATTGCGGTCCACAAAATATGCTTTGCGGCCGAAATTCTTGAGTTTCCAAAATATGCACTCTCTGAATTTCCTCACTGTGGACCGCACCAAATGGAGTGCGGCTGTAGTGAATCTGTTGCACTGTGCTTGGACTTGTTATTGGTACTTGTGTATATTTCACTCCTTTTTGAGCTGGTTTTGACTGATTGTCACCTTTTTGACCAAACCCTGCAAATAAGTACAATATGTAAGCCTTTGGGACTATTTTGTATACATTTTTAATCAAAACTCAAGTAAGAAGGAATGTAAAATGAACCATAATACCTAGTTATCAGTTGCTTCGACACCGGCCTTATACTGGGCCACTATCTCTTCAGCATTAATGGAGGTTGTGTGCAGTTGAGACTCTACTGCTTCACATTCATTACTGAGGTCATCCCGCTCTGCCAGAGCAGAGCTCAACTGCGCTCGAAGTTCATCATTCAACTGGGAGCGCTTATCGGCTTCTCTTATGCTACCTGAAGTTGAACCTCTACCAATTCCAGTTGTGCCTGGGTGGTTTCCTTCTCCGAAGAAAACCGATCCATTTTACTCTTCCAACCATTGACCATATCTTGGACCTTATTCATTTCGATCTTTTGCTGGACCGGCGAGATTTGGTCGTTAGTCACCATGACTAAGTCTTTATTTCTAACTTCCAAAACCTTTACCTTTTCGACCAAATCAGCATGTTCCCGCCTCAGGTTCAAGGCCTCCTTCTGAGTCCCATCCAACTCGGCCTGAAGGTCCTTGATGGCCCCTTCGTGTTGCTCGCTGAGAAGCTTGTATATATCCTTTTTCTGGGCAATCTCCCTAACCTCAAGCTTGAGCTGGTTGAACTCAGCCAGCTACCAAACGAAGGTCTCATGGTGAAGTACCGAGTACTACAAAAGGGTGAAAAAATATGAAAAATATAAAAACCTAAGTAAAGGTTCGAAGGATCATAAGGATGCCTTATCCGGTTCAGTGCTTGATGCACCTCATTGAATATTCATGGCACGGCCACCTTATTCATCTTCGCCTGATCCTCCTCGGTCACCAGGCATCGGAGGTAGCTCGCTACTCCTACGGGAGCAGAAAGAACTCAGACATCCTCCGGGACAGTAATGATTATCGATCTCTTATGATCGGAATCCACACTCGGGGCGGGGAACTGGTTGATTAACTTTGGGATCATATTCGACCCTCCAACTTCTGAAGATGGATCCTTCCTCGGCACTTCCAGGTCGCCCAGCTCGAAAACGTATTCCAAAATGGATGAGTCCACGCCTCCAAAAAATGAACAAAGGGGATTGTCTGTGCCATGAGCCCCTTCGTTAGACCTCTCCTTCCCTGTTCGGGCCTCTTCGAGCATGGACTCGATATAGGAGGGCGACCCTGAAATCTCTATTATATTGGGTGCAACGGAGTGGAGCTGACGTCCCGGGTAGTGTCAGCCCCCCGTCTCCATATTGATCTCCCAAGCCTAAGGGAGATTGGCCTCCAGTATCGCCCCCTTGGCTGATGCCTGCTCTTCGAGAGAGATCGTCCCATAGGCCACAAAAGTATCATTTTCTTCGGGCTCGTCCCTGAACCAAAGAAGTGAATCCGAGTCCGGTGCTCGGGAACTAGAGCCTCTCTTTGGCGTACAAGCCAATCATATTTTTGGCTTCGCTGCGGAGCTCAGGGAGCCCAAAGCCTTCCTTTTATTCTTCTTCTTTTCCCACGCTGCAGCCTCGAGATGCCTCAAAGCGGAGGGATCAACACATAAGGACGCGTCCTTGTCTCCTTCTAAAGGCCTAAGTTTAGTGGTCTTAGGCATACCTGCAAAACGAAAAGATAGGAAATGAGAATGAGTATGATGTAAATAAGGGAGCCTAATGTTACTTATTTGGGAGAGAGACCTTACCATGAGAAGGGACCTCCCATCGACCCTTCGATAGTTTGCGCCATGTGCACTCAAGGTACGACATCTCAGTACAAATGCCATTGATCCATTCATTTAGCTGGGGAACCGCATTTGGAACCCGGTCGACAGCTGCACAATTACAAGCATAAATAAGAAGAGAGAAATTTTAGAAATAGAATCTTGCCATTTAAAGAGAGATTGCACTTACGAGATGCATTCCACTTCTCAGGGAATGACATGTATTCCCCAAGGATCAAATACTCAGTCTTTACTCGGACAAAGCATCCTTGCCAGCCTTGGTCTGGGTCTTCATCGATGATCGAGAAGGGGGCTTTGCTGGCCCGGCGAGTAAGCTTGATCGGCCCCCCCCGGAACATTCGAGGAATGTATAATCAAAGCAGGTGATCAATCGTAAGCTGACGAGATTCAGTCTTGCTCACGAAGTAGCGGAGAAGGGTCACGATCCTCCACAAGATGGATGGATTTGCCCGAGGCTCGCCTTGTACCTCTTGCAAAAATTCAGGACGATCGAGTCCACCGGGATCAATGTGAAGGGGTAAGTGTAAACACTTAAGTACCCCTCCAAGTGGGTAGTAACGACGTCCTCAAGCCCTAGGACAACTACGTCTTTTCTCTCCCAATTGCAGTCCTTACAAACTATGGGAAGAACATCTTTTGTCACAGAACATATATACCTCGAGACTTCTTCACCTCGGTCCTATTTGCGCGAAGGCTTCTCGACTTTAAAATCATCTGCAATTGAGTAGCCCCTGGGAATGAACGCTGCCAAGGGAGGCTCGGGGGCTGGTTCGCTAACAACCACAATATGGGAAAGTTGTTTCAGGGCGACCACTCCAGGGGTAACCACTTCAGTGCCAGCGGCCGGTTCAGAAGACGAAGAGGCAGCTTGTTGGGGGACGATTTTCGATGTTTTGGCCATTTTCATTTGGGGAGTTTGAAAATTTGAGGAAAGAATTTAGAGTTTTTGAAAAAAAAGGGTTTTTAAGATGAAGATTTAAAGAAAATCTCAGCAAAAACTTGGAAATTACTGAGAAATCTTGAAGAACAGGGGTAAAGATATGAAAGTTTGAAGAAGGGTAATAATAGCTTGAAAAACTCGAGGGTAGAAGCTTGGTCAAAAGGTGAAAAATGAACGAATGATGGAAGCTTTTATAGAGATTTTGTGTCCCTTCGCATTCAGAGGTAACCTGCCGATGACTGACATGTGTTCGAAGTCATAACGACACAACTAATATGTCGCACCGACTTATTTGTCGTTTCTGTTACGGCGTATTGAAGAAGGAATCGAAAAGCATTTGTCGTTTTCCATTGGTTCAGTAAACTTGCTCTCTAAGAAACTAGGGAACTATCTGTATGCAGGTAAAATCGAGCCCGTTCAATACCTCGATTTCCCGGTAAGGCAAATAGAGCAGGGATGTGATCGAAAGGAATCAAAATCCGTGAGAGGAGCCCCTCGTATCGGGTTCCGAGCAAAGCACCTGCCCTCGGAGGCATCGGAACTACGTCCTCCGGTTCTGGTTGGAGTCTCAAGACTTCGGAGAACATCATCAAATGGTTGCAAACGACTAACGAAAGGCCGTGATGTCCGTGCCC